GATTACAGACAGGGCCCACACTTTGTCGATGAGATTGTTACAAAACATAGCGAAAGTTATCCATGACGTCAACATACGAAGCCACGCCCCCTCGGCTGAACCCGTTGTATTTAGCATCTACCGCCCTGTACGTTGGGCACGAAGTATAGGAAACTTACATGGTTAAAAAGAAGGGCACGACTTCCGCCTCATTTTCACAATGCGGAGAACTCTATCTTGTATTTCTAGTATCTTTGATACGACCCTTTTGCCATTCGGCGCATTTACATTCGGCGTAATTACAAATAAAATACGCCGAATGTAAAAACCTTGAAACCAGTGCGTTAAACTATTACAGAACGCGTTTTATTCGTCAACTTTATCAAGTCTGTGTTATACAGTATAGCCCATTTTGCATGTACCTGTACTACCGAACTTTCTTGTGTAAAAGAAACAGTATTATTGTTTTATAATTATTACAGCAGTAAACAAGTAACTTCGAGCTGCGATGAACACATGTAACGCGCACTACTACCTTGCCGACTCTTCCATCGAAAACCCAAGCGACGCGGTCTTAGACACGCCCCAAAAATGGTTTGCTGACTGGATTAGACCATTTAGACCATAGACCAACACGATTGAAAAAAACTGTAATTTCGTGAGTATTTTAAACGATGATTTCCCTTCGTTTTTCATACTTCCGGGTTCGAGTGTCTAACTAAAATCACGTTTTACAGTATTTTTGGTACTTAAATGTGAAAAATATTATTTGAATCCTATTCTTAGATACTTAATATACATGTTTTTAATGAAACACCAAAATGAGCAAATTTGACCTTGTCTATTGGTTTGCCTTTATATCTTAAAATCGTCTTAGCGACTTCCGACCGTTTTGGCTTGACATGGCCACATATTTAAAATGAATCGAGCCATTTGTAGCTGGCCAATCAGAACACGGTTAACGTCATTAACCCAGTTTAGCCCAAAGAGATGTAATATTCAGCCAAAGAGTATGTTCAGCCAAGCGTGTTTTGTCAACAAAAGCAGAAAATATTCATAATTAAATGCTTTTTGATTGGTTGAGACGTCAGGTATACTCAGGGGTGGTGGAAGTACTGTAATATAAACCATTTTGATTTTTTCTGAAATCGGTTACCGAACATTTCATTAAAATTCGTCGTTTTTTTCCAGAGAATTGTGAGTAGTAAAGTTCAATTTTTTAATAACGAATATTGGTTTATATATCTAAGAATTTATTTACCAAATATGAATGTAATACGAGGCGTAGCAATATTTTTTTTTTGGCATCGCAAAAGCAACGATCACCTGTTGTTCGGCCGTTGTGTACATATTGTCGCGAGGTAAACCATAACGATCTTAACGAAAGTGCCGCATATAAACGGCAATATTTTTCATGTAAATAAAATATATGACTTCAAGAAGTAAACTAAATGAAACTTAAAGTATTAAAATATAGTTTTAGCTAATGATTATCTAAAAAAAATAGTTAAATATTAAGGATTGATGTGGATATTAAACATATATGATTTCGAGAGAATTGTTATGGTAGTGGCTATCGGCACTGCCGCAGTGCGAAAAAAAAGTCTGGTGTTTTCTATCGACACTGCCGTAGTGCCAAAAAGCTGCCGTTTTCTATCGGCACCGCCACACTGCGAAAATCGAATCGATGTTTTTATTGATAGATGACACGGTATAATAAATAATTTTATTTCACTCAAAAGGTAATGAGACTGGTAGGCAAAAAAGGGAACATGTCCCTGTAGGCCTAAACAAGATGCCTACCAGAGAAACAATGATAATGAATGGCAAAGACAATAATAATGATAATAATAATACAGATAATAATAATAAATAAATAATAATAAAAAAGTAATAATAATGAGGATAATAATAATAAATGAAGATCAAAATATACTATTGAAATGAATTCATATTTAATATAAAAATAACGCTAAAAAGAAAAGATCGACATTTCGACTCCTTCATGGTGTCATTTTCAAGATCAAATGATGAAGTAAAAAATATACAGCAACTATAATCAACAGAAAAAAGCTAATCTGCAATGTCAAAGTTCATAACAGTGGGAACTTAATCCCTGTGTTAGATAAAAAGCTTTGCTTTGACAGAGTCACTTTTGTTTATTCAGACTGGGTTTTAATTGTCTAATAAATAGCATTTCATGAATGAGACAGTCAAATTTGTTCCTACATTTCTTTAAAATGCTGAAACATGACTCAATACTGCTTGGGCTGATATGATGATCCTTAGCATGTTGTCGTAACAGAAATCTTTTATGTTTAGCAATACGTTGGTAGAGGTGTCGGTTTGTGTATCCGACATAACTTGCATCACACTTTTAAATCTGTACACAAAACACTGCTGATTTATGATTGTAGGTTTTCTTTCTGTTTTCTTAATTTCATCACTTATTTTTTTGCTTGTGAAAACAGGAAAAATGTTTTGGTCTATTTTGTTGCTTAGTTGACGCTTAACTGAGTTGGCAGATTTCTGGTCTTTGAATGGTAGAATAATTCGGATGGGCATTTCCTTCTCATCGGCTTCACTGTTACTAAATTTATTATCAGTCTCTAGACATTTGAATTGTGGATGTGATGAGGTCATCTGTGTATTCAAGGCATTTGAAAATCCTTCTTAGGTTATCACCTTCCTTGTTGAATAAGTGGCTGGATGAT